AGAAAACACGATGAAACTGCTTCCACAGGCTGAGTAATACTTCCTTAGATGATTAAAATGAGCTCAGTGTGTAAAAGGAGTGCTCTGAACATTTCTTCAAATTTTCAAAACAAATATAATTCTTTATTATTTGTACTGAGCCACTTTAATTACTCCCTGCCAAAGCAATCAGTTACACTACTAGTTATATTACTTTTCTGCTGCTCTCCGCAAAATTGGTTCCCCTTCCCCCCAAAATTCAGACTTAAAATGCAGTTTGTTAAAATCAAAGTAATGCGTAAGTAATGTTTGGGCTTGCAAAGGTTTTTTGGAGGCCAATCAAAGTGCTACTAGTAATGCCTTACTGCCCAACACTGATAATGTGTAAGTATTTAGTACACGCAGAGTACCAATAACCAACCTTATGTGTACACTGACAAATACAGCGTCTACTTCTAAGGGAATTTTTTTTTGTGTGTATTTTGCTTTCAAATCACTGAGAACATATTTTAAAGGACCAGTGTGGAGGATTCAGTGGCATCAAGTGGTGCAGCTGCAGATTGCAAGGCTCATTGTAAGGTAAGTAAGTAGAGGGTTAGCAAAAACTACCATGAATGATGTGTCTCTATCATTGATAGTAAATATAACGGACAGAGCTTCCAGGTCTGTGAAGTGTCCTAAACCTGCAGGGGGAGCTCCACTGGTTGCAATAAAAGACAGATACCATTCAGTCTTATGGAGAAATGAGCCGACTTCTCAGTTGATTTATTGTTTCAGTAAACAGTTTCCTGATGAGTTTCTGGTCTCAGTCTCAGTCAGTTTCAGTCTTCTTCCGTACAGCATGATGACTCCACTTACAAGCAGGGGCTGGGGGAGTCGGGCCGTCCTCTGATTATAGAAATGTTGTGATGTAGAGTCGCCCAAAACTGTTGAATCTATCTTAGCATTTGTCTAAAAATGTACAGGATGATTTAAAACAGTAGATTTTTAACCCACAAAATGCAGATTTGCATTAATTTGGTAATAATTTAAAATATTAACAGCAGCATTGATGTGTTTCATCACAGTACAATCATATGATTCACTTACAGCTGAGGTTTTAGGGTGGACGACCTCTTTTACAAACATATTTACAATGAATTATATTACCACAAACTAATTGACATATAACTGACTCATGAACCAACCTTGGTGGATCAGCAATACCCCGTCTGAATCAGCTGAGGCTGTGATCTTTACATAAACAAGGAGAGAGTTTGTATAAATGATAGCTGCTGTTGATCAATTCCACAAAGAATATGTAATCAATCAAACTACCTCGCAACTATCACATGACAGCCTCTCCCCACGCCTGTTTCCACATCTGCCTGTCTGCCATCTGCTCTGCAGCTACTTCAATAATAGCTTGCAGCTGCAAAGGAAGGAGAGGAGGGGGTGAGAGGTAAAGGGAGGGAGGGAGGGAGGAAGGAGGGGGCGGTGAAAGCAGAGCTGTGATGCAGACAGCGAATCACATGAGCAGGGATCTGTTTACAAACTGAGGGCTGTAGACGAGAAGTGGAGAAGAGAGACGAGGAAGGAGAGAGGAGGAGGAGAGTGAATGTGAGAAGAAAAATACCTGGATCTGAATTCACATCAGCCGCATTGTCTTCCTCCCTGAGTCATATACCTGTTCTTTGTTCAGAGCAGGAAAGAGCAGAGGGAAGAGATGAGACGCTGCTTTCCACAGGAACACTGAAGGCTGCCCTGCCTGCCTGCCTGCGCTGCCTGCCTGCCTGCCTGGCTGACTGGCTGACTGTCTGACTGGCTGGCTGACTGGCTGACTGTCTGACTGGCTGGTCGTGCTGCCGGGAGAAACCCATCCATGTCCTTCCCTTTGTCTCTCCATAATTGGCCACAGCAGGATTTCACAGCCACAGAGGAGGAAGACGACGTGGAGGTCTAAAAAGGAAGGAGAGAAAGAGAGAAAGAAGAGGAGGAAGGGAAGAGGAGACTCGTGACAATGTTTTGAAGGGGAGACAAAACAAAAAAACAGCAGCTCGGTCAGAGGTACATAACCACAGTGTTGGATGGGATCTGGAGTATATTTCCCCATATTGTCAGTTACATTGGTGTCTTTTTATCCACAAGGTTCTTCTCCAAGACTGGTTTCTTTGTCTGTCAGAGACAAAACAACACAAGAATTTCTTCCACTGATGCCTTTACAGTTGTTTGGGAGTCTAAATCAGAATTAATGGATGTTTATGTCGCTGCAGATTGAGGTTTCAGGGGTTCAAATGAGCCCGAGGTCTTCTTGAAGAGCCTCTACTCAGGTCTTCTTAGACCACAAGGATTCTCACTCACTGCACATCCACTCAGGGTAAACTAGTCTGAACCTGAAAAGTAGTGGACGTAAAGCTTCTTCCTCTGTGGAAACCAGACTTTGTTACATTGGAGAGGTCACGACCCCAAAGATATTCCGGGTTTGACAACCGATGCATCCTGTCCAGTGGTGTAACGGTAAGTCTCCTGGAGCCCTTTTCAGGTTCAAATAAGCCTAATAATGACTCAAGTCTCTATTAAGTGGAGATTTACACGTCATTAAACACACAAACTAGTTCCATTTCGTGCGGGCTTCGTCCTCTAGAGGGTGGCGGACCCCGAAAGTTGTGATGCATTTATGATTTTATTATTATTTATGTTTGCCCAGTGATGGCAGTGCGATGGATAGCTAGCCCAGTGGTAGTCCCAGTACCACACAGAAGATGACCAGCGCGTTCCCACTGCCTCTTCGACTAACACCCTGCGCTAACTTGCTAGACAGGACAAGGTATTAATGTGCTAATTAAAATGAATGTGTCATAGTTTAAATCTCATAAAATAATACTTAAATTCTCTTCTCTTCTATTTCAACTTTTTACACATGAAACAATAAAAAAAATACAGATTTAATGTAATAAGACATTAAATTACATCAGATTTTGTCAGGAATAAGTTATTTATTTATTATACAAAGACAGAGTGCAATATCTGCATTTTTTGGGATCATACGTCAAATAATTGGTCCATGAACTTTACTTAGATAATACATATTTAATAAACACATTTCTGCTGTTCTACCTTAAATGGATTTGGCTGGACAGTTTTTAAAGCCATTTCTTTCAGTTTCATTGTTAGCGTAGTTGCTGCGGTTAGCCTTTATATAGAACACCTGTCTCAGTTGAGGCGAATAAAGGGAAGCTGATGTCTGACGTTCGTCTTTTCACCTTCTAGTTCTACCTCACCTCCCACTCGCTGTCTGCTCCCCAGATGCTTGATGGGTAAACCGATAAAGGCTGGCGTGCGTACTCATAGAAGTGGAGTTACATCCGGGTTGCTACTAAGAACTTAAGTGACAAAGCTAAAGTTAGCTTGGTAATATATAACATGTTAATATTTAAAACTGGTTTAAACGGCTGTTTAATAAAGATTTAAACTGGGAATATTTTTTATTTAATTTCACAAAAATTAATATTCCTGATAGTGTTTAATGGTAAAGTTAAATAATTAAATTACATTGGTTAAATTGGCTTAATTTAATACTTCCCACTCATAAATTCCATAACTCAAAATAACCACATTTATAGAGGATTGTAATAGAATATAATCTATTATTTGCCCTCATAAAACTGCCACAGCTTGTGATGCTACAGTGACTTCTCGTTAGCTTTTTATTGGACAGTCCTACATGTTTCCTAGCAACCGATTTACACATTATTAAAGTATTTTATTTAGTTTAAAACTAGCTAGTAGTTACACTATAATATGACAAGCTATTTCAACTCAAAACTAAATTGTTGAAACTGATTACATCGGACATTTTAAGTAAGACGATCATAATTTTGTGAGTTAAAACAATTCTGTGTCACTTATTTAGTTTTATAAGTTACAGAAACCTTCCTGATTAAGTACTTTTCAGTAGGT